TTCTCACTCATTAACCCTTACTGTCCTTGTCAAATCCTAGATATTCTTCAAGATCAACCTCAATGCTTTCTTTCCTGGCGCCCATCAACATCATATTATTATTATTATTATTATTTTTAATTTTCATAGTAATTTGTATTTCCTTTAAAAGAGTCCACCCAATTTCACCTTTTACTATTTTCATTTTTGATCTTAGAGGACAAGCATCTTTAAAGTTGACATTTTTTTAACACTTACTTCAAGCTTTTTAATGTATTTATTTTTATTTTATCTTTAAAATTATTCTTATTTTTTTAGCTACACAAGAGGCATGTGGGATCTTAGTTCCCCAACCAGGGATTGAACCTGCACCCCCTGCGCTGGACCGAGAAGTCCAAAGTTGACTCTCTCTTCATGAACAGATGCTTAGGTCCTCCACAGAGTCAGCACACGTGTTCAACTTAACTTACTTGAATATGTTTTGCCTTCATATGACTACACATAGCCTTCTAAATCACTTCTTGAGAATCACGTGGTTTATATAATCATTTTTGTAAAAGTTACATAAATGTAATTTACCCATTCAACATACACTAGCCAATGACGTAACCAGTATAAGCCAAGACCTGGACGCGATCATGAACTCCCTGTAATTCAGACCCGTCAATTACGTGCTTGTGCTGCATATTCTCACTATGCTCCCTATTCTGTTTGGAGATTCAGGTTCTCGCTTTTTTTAATGCCTACAATCTCTGGTGGCTCAGCGGTGAAAGAATCTGCCTGCAATGCAGGAGACACGGGTTCGGTCCTTCAGTCTGGAAGATTCCCCTGGAGAAGGAAATGGTTACCATTTCGGTATTTTTGCCTGGAGAATTCCATGGATAGTGGAGCCTGGTGGGCTACAGTTCATGAGGCTGCAAAGAGTTGGAGATGACTTAGCAACCAAACCACCACAATCTACCTGGAGACAAGACTAACAGTGGGGTTGCTAATATGTATTTAAAGAAAGTATTGACAAAATAATGACAATGATATGAATCCTGAGTATAAAGGTATTTTGGGAAAGGAACAGAAAACTAGCAAAAGACAGTTCCATGCTGCTCTGAAAGGAGAGGAGAGTTGCTACAAAGAGGACTCAAATAGTTCTTGTTCTCTTCTAGGAAGGGGGTAGGTAAGGCTCGGGAAGAAAATGGCTGGGACAGCTAAAACCACCTTGAAAGAGAAAGCAGATTAGCGGTGGGAACACACTGTGAGTCTCGGATGAAAGAGACTGCGCGGTGTTGCCCGATGCAGCAGCAGCAGCGCCTGGCCTCACAAGTTGCAGCTCTCACTTTCCTGGTGGTTTATTTGTTGTTCTTCAGCTGCTCAGTCGTGTCCGACTCTCTGTGACCTCATGTAGTTTATTTAGTTCAACACTAAAACTCCCCACAGAGTTTAGTTTTAACAGCTAAGACGATAGCTAAATTGGGGAGGCAAATAACTGTTTCTTTAAGTCCTATGTTACCAAATATTTATTATCTGCTTTGATCATGTGCTGTGTAAGGCAATGGGAACACAGCTTCTTTCCTCAAAGCACTTACATTCTATGGTTCAATTTAGTCTTTGTTCGTCTATCAGAAATGCCTGAAAAATAACCCTGCCAACATGTGTGATTTCATCAGTCAAGAGTTTTCCTACAGAATACAGTTTGTGGGAGACACTTCCCTGGTGGTCCAGAGGTGGAGAGCTTCCTTCCAATGCAGGGGATGTGGGCTCCGTCCCTGGTCGGGGAAACAGAGGTCCATGTGGAGTGGAGCAACTAAGCTTCTGTCCTCCATCTAGAGCCTGGGTGCCTCACTGGAGACCCCGAGAGCTGCCAACTACGGCGCCCACCTGCTCCGCAGCCTACGAGCACAGCTCGAGAGAAGCCTATAGCTGCCAGGAAAGATCCTACGTGTTGAAGCTAAGACCTGACAGCCCACCAAAAAAAGAAGGACATTAAAAAAAAAAATGCACCTTGTGGGGTTGTCTTTGTATGTACCTATCACAGGAACACTCCAGAACATTTGTATGATTATAAACTTCTGTGAAGAAAAATGTCTTAAGCTCTTATTCTTCCCCCTTCTCTTCTCCAACTCAGCTCTACCTTCACCCTGCAAGTGTCTGTTGCTCAGTCATGTCTGACTTTGTGACCCCATGGACTGCAGCCCACCAGGCTCCTCTGTTCACGGGATTTTGCAGGCAAGAATACTGGAGGGGGTTGCCATTTCCTCCTCCAGGGGATCTTCCCAACCTAGGGATCGAACCCAGGTCTCCTGCACTGCAGGAGATTCTTTACCATTTGAGCTACCAGGGAATCCACCTTCACCCTACTGCCCGTTTAACAGGGGCTTTGTGTGTTTTCTTCATATTTCCAGTGTATATATAAACACGCACCTAGCCATCCCTCCATTATTGAATTTAATATTAGGGAAAAATACCAACAGCAAATAATTTCAGCCGAAGGATCTGGAGGTAAATTAGAAATGTTCCATTTTAGCTACAGAACCATAAAATTATGTAATGATTAGATCTTACTTTCAAATATTAGCACCATAAATTCCTATTAACAAGATCAGAGAAAACATAAGAAAAGCATTGCTATGGAAAACTGAAAATACTCAAAATAATAACTGTAGAAATTATGATGCTTTAAGATAATCATGGATGCTAGTATAAAAGAAGTCCGGGCCTTATTTCATGTAATCTTACTTCTAATTTTATAGATATGAACCAGTTCAGGGCATTTCAGTTACTTGTCCCAGGTGACCCGGTCAGTTCCCATTCCAAATTCTACATTATTAGCAACGTAGTCTTGATTTCACTGGTTTATAGCATGAGCTCTCAGTTTTCATTAGGACGTAGCTGAGATTACACCTCTCTTGAAACATTTTCTCTAGTATATAGGAAAAAGATGATTGTAGAAAGAAAGATAATACAGATAAGCATAAAGGAGGAAATAAACACTAGTCAATTAAGACTTTATATTTCAAATCTTCTTAACTGTCTTCTCTTTGTAAAACCTTATCTTGACATCCTGGAGAAATCTGTTACTTTTGTACTGGTGACAGTCAGGATTTCAGGATATCAGAATCAGGTTACCCACCTAAAGTCAGACATGTAGGAGGTCAGGGTCAGAAAGAGTAGTTCGTTGCTTGAAACAGAGAAGGGTCAGAAAAGCAGACCAGAGCATGTGACAGGCTTAAGGTATATGGCTGGACCATGCGGTTTTCATCCGACCCTACATTTCCCATTAGCACCTGTGTATTCAATCTGCTCTCTTCGTGTAGACTATAATAACAGACACATCACAGTGTCTGCCATAATCTTAGCGGACTTTCTGAGGAGAACCTGCCTAGCTGTAGCCCTTCTGAATGAACAGCCCTAGGCAGCTTTCTTTGGTAGCAGATGATCCCTGGTCCATTAGTAAGGGCAGCCATTCAGTAGCTGGCTAATAACCTTGACACGTCTCGCCACAAGAGGTATACATCCCCCAATAAGAAGGAACTGTGCCGATTCAATTCTTGCTTTTGGAAAATACAGAGAGAACTAGTTAGAAGAGAACAGATCAGGGAAAGGATGCAGAGAAACATGTCTCAAGACAAGGAACTGCGAGCAGGTGGATAAGGAAGTGGAAACCATGAGTGAGCAGACGCTAGGAGAGAAACAGCGAGAAGCCAAAGGACCCCTAAAGGAAAAGATCCGTGGACTCAGCCCTGGAAATCCAGAGCTGCCTTGTTCCCAGGCCGGTCAATCTAGATTTGCTGCTTTCTCCATTCTGTCAGCTCAGTCTATTGCCACATAGATCCTTATGATAATTATCCCTTATTTCATTTAGATTGTAACTCTGTCATTTTTTTGAAAAAGGAGGTTGAACTATGTAATCACCAAGCAATCTCTCACATCTCATTGATCTTGAGTAGCATGTTCTGAATGTATAATAAAACAGCTTAGATCAGAAGTTCCCATACTTGACCGATTATTATAATCATCTAGGCAGCTGAAAAAAGTTTAAGATTCTGGGGACTCATTGACTCAGAATATTGTACAGAAAATCTTTCTGGCTTTGGGTCTCTATGCTCAGATGGTAAAAATCATGCCTCTTCTAAGAAATTAAGGCATGGAGGGGTAACTGTGTTGAAGTAAAGTGAAATATTTAATAAAGTTACTCCTAGTTTGATTCTGTTAAATTCTCATTACTTATTAAAACATCATTTTCAATATTTCATAATTTATTTTCTCTGCTTTTAATCCAAATTTTTCTAATTTCTTGTTTTTTTGACTACTTTCTGTGCACATACATTTTTACATAATAATGCATTTCAGTTTTTTTGGTTTATGTTAATATGATTGGTTTTATACTTTACAAGAAAACTCCTTATAGCAAAATATATTATTTCACAAATAAGAGGGGATAGGTGATATTTTACATCCTTTTTATTCTTATGTAAATTTATAAGTGATGCAAACAGGAAATTCCCTGGCTGTCCAGTGGTTAGGACTCAGCACTTTCACTACTGAGGGCTGGAATTCAATCCCAGGTCAGGGAACTAAGATCCTATAAGCCATGAGGCATGGCCAAAACAGCAGCAACAAACAAACAAAACCCCCCAAAAACAAACTTCTTTTTGCTTATCTGCATTTTCTCTTTTTTCTATAATAAGTTTTCTTTTATATACAAGAGAAAATCTTTCAAAAGAGGTATGATCTCAGCTACATCCTAATGAAAACTGAGAGATCATGCTGGAAACCAGTCAAATCAAGAGTTTCTGATTTGTTTAAAATTTGTCCCTGGGGAATGGAAGATGCTGTATTAATGCTAATTACTGGGCAAGTTCAATATGCTAACTAGAAGAGGGACTAATGCAGAGCTTTCAAGGCCCTTTCGTAAAATGACTATAGTTAGTCTGAAACCAATATGAGTGAGAGGAAGGACATTTAAGTCAAATATATTTAGTGAAAACCAAACACTAACATTCTAAATTAATTTTTGTTGTACTTACAAACAGTGTTGGTTTGGGTATAAATACATTGTCTTCAGGTTCTTTAGGTGCATTCAAAGTCTTTGATTTCTGATTTTCTGTCACATTTTTGGATTCCATTTTAGTGAAAAGTAAGTTGTCCTCGGAACGCTTACTACGCATGTGAGTGATAATCTGTTTCATTGCTGCCAATTCCTGTTGATATATGAAAACAGAAGAGGAAGGCAAGTATGATTTTAGCAAGCAGAACTCATGATGTTGATCTTAAAACATTTATTTTTATTCTTGAAGTAGAAAAAACAGTTGAAACAATTACATTACATAAATGAGCAAAGTTGTGAAAATAACTACATATTAATGTTCAATAATGATGCACAAAAAATCTCATAGTTGTTAATACTGTTAAAAGATAAATATATCATTCCAAAGGGGAAAGAGGGGGAGGGAGAAATAGGATAAATAGGAGTGTGGGGTTAAGAGACAAATACAATAGTAGTATCTTGTTATATATAAAGGAGATCAGCAACAAGGATTTACTATACAGCACAAAGAACTGTATTCAAAATCTTATAATAACCTATGATGGAAAATAATCTGAAAAAATATACATGTATAACTGAATCACTTTGCTGTACATCTGAAACAAACACGGTATTATAAACCAACTGTACTTAAAAAAATATATTATTCCATAGTCTAGTGTTTCCCAAATTTTTCAGAACTTTGGAATCACCTGTGGAGCTTAAAAAAAAAAACCAAAAAAACTGATGCCTGTGTTCCACCCTGAGAGATCGAGAGATAATTGAACTGGGGTGTAGCCTTGGCTCTGAAATTTTTAAAGATTCCCCAGGTGATTTTAACAAATTTTGGAGTCATGGGCATAGCTACATCCCCCAGTAGCTTTTCTACACATACTTGATAAACAGATTATTTAGGCACTTAACTCTTCCTCTTCTACCTCTTAAACTATCCTACCAGACTTTTTTGAAATCTTGCATGAAGATGCAAGGGAAAAAGTCTGAAAATCTTTTTCTTGTCTATTAATCAGCAGTTCAAACAATAAGTTTAATGTAACTTCAGGATTTCTTTAATCATGTTATTCCTGGACTAAAAGACAGAAAACAAATTTATGGTTACCAAAAGGGAAAGTAGGGGGAGGGATAAATCAGGAATTTGGGATTAACAGATACAGACTGCTATATATAAAACAGATCAACATCAAGGACCAACCGTATAGCACAGGGAGTCAGAATCACTCTGCTCTACACCTGAAACATTGTAAATCGACCAGACTTCAGTAAAGACACAGCAAAGCATATTACTCCCTCTTCTACAAATGAAAACCTGAGTTAGCTCTATCAGTCATTGTTTGAACTAAGGATTAGTTATGCTGAATCTTGAAAAACCCAGATCAAAAATTTCCCTCATTCTCTCTTCTACATCTATTTCGTCGTTTCTTTTCCCCATAGTCAAATCTTTAGCACCACACACTAACTAGTGGATATTTATGCTTAATTACTAAATTGATTTGATCAAACACAAGTATATGGAGAGAGGGCAGACTAAACTCTTCTTTACCTTATTCTCTGTAGAACAGTGGTAGGCTTTGTTGGAGGTAATTTTCTCCAATGATTTTATTTCATCTTCGTGCCAAGACACAAAAGTTACAGCAATAGAAAATGTTCTGCTTCCTTCTACTAATCTGTTTATAGACATCAGCTCTGTGTCGGAGCAAGTTCCTACAGGCCTTTTTTTTTTTTTTCTGGCTGTCATTAGTTCTATTTAGAACCATCTAGCTTGAGTGGGTATTTTAAAACAGAGCTGTTGAGTTTAAGCCACAAAGCCTTAATAACTCGCAGGGCCAAGAGAGGAGCTAGAAGAACGATGCCAGAATCCTCTTTTCTGCAGGAATGGGGCTGGCTTGGCCAACGCACACGAGGGCGTGTCTACCTTCAGAAACTGCCAGTCTGATATACTATTTAAAAAGTTATTTATTTGGCTGTGCCCTGTCTTAGCTGCTCTGCAGCATGTGAGACCTTAGTTCCCTGACCAGGGATTGATCCCTGGTTCCCTGCATTGCAAGGTCGATTCTTAGCCACTGATCCATCAGGGAAGTCCCTGATATTTGAGCCTTTAGAGGACTCAATGCTTCTGAGATTATGTTACCTCCTTTACATGCTTCCCTATAGTGGAGTGTGTACCACTGACTCAATGTAAAACACGTCTGTGTTACGGTAGATTTCAGCTCCTGTCTAGTCACTATGCAGCAAGTAAAGTCAGAGGGGAGATAATGGTCTCTCAACCTATCAAAGGAACACTTTTTATCTGAAAGAACCTCTTTTTTACTAGTCACAACTTTTGTATCTTGGCATGAAGATTATTAAGAAAAAAATTTCCTCCAATACAACCTAACACTATTCTACAGATAAATAAGGTCCAGGGACTCATACCTTCTGAAAGCAGGGAAGGCAGAGACGGTAAGGATGAGGAGAGAGAAAACAACGGGGGTACCAGGCAGAGGGGCTTTGGCTCCTGAGAGTCCAAAAGGAAGTCATGCTTCTGTTTCTCTTTGGCCTCACCTGCTGCTCATATAGGGACAGTTACAGGTAACAGATCACTTTTGATGCTGGTCAGGAGACAGAAGGGACATTCACAGGTTTTTACTTTTAGACTAGGATGACCCCAACCGAGGGTGCTGTCACAGTACTACTGCTGTTCATCTGACAGTACTAAATGTGAGCACAGCTTCTGAAATCTAAGTAAAGAACTCTGGAAAAGCAACAGAATTCTGCAAAATCCCTATTAGGGCAATACACAGCTACAATAGACACCAACATAAGATGCACTTTTATTATCTTTTCATACAGATGATCTCTTTTATATCAATGGTAAATTTGAACAAAGAAAATTCCACTTAACATCAAATAGTATCAACACCACCACTGGAGACTGAGTGCACAGAAAGCCAAGCACAGGTAGTGGAAATCTTTCAGGATTCGGTTAGAAGTCAAAGACTCACCTATTGCGGACACGATTATTAACTGCGTAAACTTAGGAAATCTACTCTGAATAAGCTTCAGTTTCCAAATTGATAAAATGTATGCTTGTCTTACCGTTTTGGGTCTTTGCCAGTCTCCTAAGTGTTTGGGTATGTTTATTTTGCATTTCTTCTGTTGTGAGGGTGGGCAGTTTTCCTGAGTCTAAGAATATCACCAACTCAATGGATATGAGTTTGAGCCAGCTCTGGGAGATGGTGAAGGACAGGGAAGCCTGGTAGGCTGTAGCCCAGAGGGTCGCAAAGAGGCCGACACGACGGAGGCAACTTAGCACACACACATAGGTGATTAACAAACAATGTGACAGCTTCAGGTGAACACCGAAGTGACTCAGCCATACGTATACCTGCATCCAATCTCCCCCCAAACTCCCCTCCCATCCAGGCTGCCACATAACACAGCAGACTTCCATGTGCTATACAGTAGGTCTCTGTTGGTTATCCATTTTAAATATAGCAACCTTGACTTTCTTACAGAGATCTCTCCCCTTCTTCTTAAAGAGTTTCTGCCTTTTTTCTCCTCATTGATGGAAATGCCCTTTTTTCCACATTACCTAAGATTATCTAGCTTCTTAATCATATTGTTTGCTGGGATCAATTTTGTACTGACTGATTTTAAGACTAATGCAAAGTTGTTACTCTGAAATTTCCCTTTATTGCACATCTTGGCATATTCCATTATTTCTCATCTCTCTTTGTCATTTGATGGTAAACAATCTAGCAATTTCATGAGGGGGTACTGTGGTAAAGTATTATACTCGTCCTCAGAACTCTGCTGGTATTATGTCTATGTTTTCTAAAGTCAAATTTCTGGGAACTGTGATGCTAAGCTAATCTTGATTTCTTTGTAAGTATTTTCTTTCTCTAGGAACTGTCAATATTGTTTACCTTTTCCTTGTAAATTTCTGTCTTTTTACCTTTTTCAAAGTTTTAGCAGAGTTTGTTCACTTTTCCTGACATCCTTCTACAGGCATTTTAACTTACTTAGAGTAACTTCATGATTTTGATTTCAGCAATTTTTGAAAACACCAGAAACTTTTTCCATACACTGCTTATTTTCTATGAATACTAATTTCTTAAACCTTTTTGAAGAAAATAATTACAAAACCTTGCAAGTTCTTTTCTGTCACAGAATTATTTTGTTTTCTTTGGAGAAGAGTCAGTCCCTCTGTTTATTGTGATTTTTTCCTCTTGTGCTATTAATTTTCTTCCAGTTTCTGACAGTCTTTGGTTGTGTGTCCCAATTTATGAGTGAAGAAACAGACTAAATGTTTTTTCTTTTTGCTGCTATGGGCCATTCATCTGAATGAGATAGCTGGATATGTGGACAAGAAAATCTGTCAAGCAGGTTTCACTCTAGGGTCCTCAGATGAAAAGTAAGCTCTCTTATCCAAAATTACAAAATGTGGAATATCTTATTCAGGGACACTTCTTTTTGGTAGTCCTAATCAATTCCTGGCAAATGCTCCATTAATTTAGAAAGTCATTTGTCAAATATTTCTTTTAATTTCTGCTTTTTAAAAATCATAGAATCATTACTCATTCATTATAAAATTCAAGTACAGCACAAGTGTCATGCCTCAATTCTCTTTTCCTTATACCACTTGTTTGAGATCTTTGAGATTCTCCTATAACAGTCTGATTGATAATAATATTTATTAGTTCTGATACATTTTCCAGTGATCTACAAAAACCTAATAGGATATATTTCATAATTCTAGTATATCAAATACATAAGAAAATTATCATAACTTCAGGAATGAAGGAACCATTCATTAAAATAAACAATGTAGAACTGAATCCGATTATATGACTGTAACTTAAGATAAAATAAAAATAAAACAAAACAATAAAAACCACATTGCAGTACTCTACTCCTCAAAGTGGAAGAGTTAAGGACATTCTCACAAAGCTTCCAGATGATGATGATGTTGAAGATGATGACTGTACAAACACTCTGTAAAAGAGATAAACTACTCTCTTGAATATGAATGCACATATCTTGGTCATTTAGTATAAACTATTTGCATAGAGGGTAGCATATTAAAAGAGCTCCACTGCAGAGCAGCTGTTTAAGAGTATTGCACAGTTGATGCCAATAAATGGCTGAAAGTTGTAAACTCTGCAAACATGTTGGCAA